TTTTTGGGGGGGGGGGGGGGGAGTGTGAATCTACTATCCCAACAGAAAGACGAAGATACTTGACAAAGTTCTCCACACACGAGAATCGAACTCACGCCTTCTTTAAGCGACGGCCAAGGCCCATAGCCGCAGCTTCACACACGACAGTCTTACCTGTGTCAATTTAATATGTTCATAATTTCGCTTCTTCTCAACTGTGATAAAACTCAATAAAGTTGTCCAAGGGGGTGGTTGGAGGGCACTATTTAACTGTTAGCTTCTCCTACTCCCCCCCTTCCTCTTCCTTGTGTCCATCTGCGTGTCTGAATTTCTACCTGACCAAAAAGGCCATGATGGGCTCAGTTGGAAAAGGCAGAAGTAGGACCTACCAGGGGCAATTCCCACCCACGCACTCACAAATGTCCGTTTTACTTGCCCCTGTCGTCATAATTGTGAAGCGAGCTGACAAAATGAGTTACTTCTCGGATTCAGGCCTTATGGAAATAGATACATGACACTTACAGGTGAAGTTTTTACAATTTATAAGTATGAAATAAAAGGTATGTTATACCTAAAGAATATGGCATCAATAGAAAATCTACAAATTTGACCCTAGGGTCAATTTTTGGCCAATATCTCCATTTGTGAACAGCGAGAAGTAACTCATTTTATCAGCACGCCTCATGTATGACCTCTGTTTACAAAGTAGGCATGATACCTGTGAGAATGCCAAGCGCGCCTGGATAACTATCACTTTATTCAACACAACACACTGATGTGTTAATTAAATGGTAGTTTTGTCACATTGAAGCCGAACAAGAGTGGGATACAGTACAGCAGCTAGAAGTTATGAAGCTTAAACAAGTAGGTTTAATTTGCTTCAATGAAATATTATAATTACATTACCCAGGTGATCATGAAGTCATTAGCGCGCTACAAACATACCTTTCAAGATTTTTTATCTCCTCATGGCGGCAGGGCAGCGGGCCCAAACGATCTGTTCTCGCGGGCTGTATCTGGCGAACGAGCCGAAGTTTGGTGAACCTCAAAGAGGTAATACATGTAATATATTTAATACTAGAGCTCGTGGCGGTGATTCCCCCACGTAAACGAACGGGGATGCGTGTGCCCAAAGATCGTGTATACGATAGTATAGTAGAAAATCTTTGGTGTGCTCCCCAAAGAGGTTATATTTAGTACTAGAGTCTGTGGCAGTGATGTCCCCCACGTAAACGAACGGGGGCTGCGTGTGCCCACTGTGGGACGCTGGACCTCAAGGGCAAGATATGCGCAGTTAACAGACGAGTGAGTACCGGTGCTTCTCGAGACTCACGTGGAGGCGTCTCGCCGGTTTTAGGAAGAAATCTACAAGCTTGCATTGAAATATGGGGTCAGGGTGCGAGTACGTTGGGAGCGGGGTGGG